GTTACCCGCTACCATCCCACACTTAGTAAACTCTTATGAGGCACCAAGCCAAGCCTCTTTCATATTTATTTTTACATAATCATCACAAAACCTAATGATTTCAATTCTATCTTACTCTCATTTCACACATGCAGAAAATGAGACTTAAAGAGATTGGCTTGCTCAAGGTCACATAATTTTTAAGTGATAGGGCTAGACTTCACTCAGAAACCTATTAATATTCTTTCTTTGGATTGATTGTTTAACATCTTGACAAATATATTTCTTCATTCATTCATTGACGATTTATGGCATACCAAGTCCTGCTAGGCTCTGAGGATACAGTGGAGAATGAGATGGCCATAAGGACTTAATTCTGCTTTAATTAATTAATTAATCACCTATTCTGATTATCTAAAATTTGCCCTTTACTGATATCAATATTTGCTGTCTGCTATTACCTTGAATTATCACCTAGGAATGTTTTTTTAAAGATTTAGTGTGTTTGGCATGACTTCTTGGGGGAAAGAATGCTGGATTTCATTGTTCTGTTTCTCACATAATCATATGACATTTTTCTGTCAATATATTCTACCTGAATGATTGACTTAGGAAATGGCTAAATATATGATTGCATATTCATATGAGGGAATATTATACAGCCATTATAAAATATATTTCTGAAAGAATACCTCAGAGCACAGTTGTTCAACCATTTATTTGTATTTTGTTTATTTATATATTTTTTGAGTCAGAGTGCCCAAGCTGGAGTGCAGTGGCACTCTCACAGCTACCATAGCCTCGACCTGCTGGGCTCAGGCAATCCTTCCACTTCAGCCTTACAAGCAGAGGGAACTACAGGTGCCACCACACCTGGCTAGTTTTTTTATTTATTGTAGAAATGAAGTCTTGCCAAGTTGCCCAGGCTGGTCTCGAGTCCTTGAGCTCAGACAATCCTCTCACCTCCGCCTCCCAAAGTGTTGGGATTATAGGCGTGAGCTACTGCACCTGGCTGCTTAACCATTTAATAAGTGTTTAAAAAAAATCAGCTGACTATAAAACTGTCCTAAAATATTATGTCAATTTTGCATATTTGGCCTATCATATTATTGAAATCTGAATCTTAAATTGTAATACAAAAATACATATAAATACAAGTTGTATGTATGTACGTGTATATATAAAACAAATCAGTACATTAATAATAGCCATCTGTATGTGAGGAGATTATAGATTTTTTTCAATTGTTATTTTATTCTTTATACTTTTCTATACATGTCAAATTTTTATACTGCATTCAATTTTGAGAAATTCATGTCAGTTCGCTAATCTGTAATTTGAGGAATTAACTATCCCCATCTAATTTTTGGCCTATTTTTATTTTCTTTTTTCTCAAGTTCTCAAATGTTACTGATGTCATAATTATTTTCTACAAGTTTAGTCAATGCCTGGGGATGTTTTCATCAGGGCTGTCAACTTAGACTCATTTCAAGCAGTTATTCCCTATTTTTTCCCCTCACCTTTCTTGGTCTTTTTTTTTTTTTTGAGTCAAGATCTCAGTTTGTCATCCAGGCTGGAGTGCAGTGGCATGAGCACAGCTCACTGAAGCCTTGAAGTTTCAGGTGATCCTTCTGCCTCAGTCTCCTGAGTAGCTGGGGCTACAGGTGTGTGCCACCACACCTGATAATTTTTTTTTTTTTAAAGGCAAGATCTCACTATGTTGCCCAGGCTGGTCTCAAACTCCTGTGCTCCAGTGATCCTCCCACTTTGACCTTTCAAGATTCTGGGATCATAAGTAAGAGTCACTATACCCAGTCTTTTCTTGGGCTTTGATTCTATTTTAATGCTGTTGATTCTTCCCTTTTCAATTTGAAGATTATTATTTTTGGTAATGAACTAGATGCAAAAAGAAAAGTTGAGCATTTCTGTTTTTCTCATCACTTTGAGACCTAAAATATTGAATTGCGAGAAGAAAAGCTTTAATATCCAAAAGGCAACTCCTTTCAAGACTTATTTTCTATGGAAATTCCGCTTCTCTCTCTTGGGATTGAATCTTCAGGCGTCAGCATTTATTATATTTTTCTCAGTAGCTGTGACTGTTTTAAATAGAGCAATTTTGAACCAGAATGCTATCAACTTTAAATGGAATTGAATTGAACTTGAAGTCAATTTGTAAAGCAGAAGTCCAAATGCCTGGGGATTTGGTGCAACAGGAGATAGGAAGCAGTAGCAAAAACCGGAGTTGGACTGATTGAAACCTTGGTTTTTGCCCCGGGTCTGCCCATAGCTAAAACTGCGTGCTGAATGTCACCTCTTTGGACACTATAGAATTATCCCAGCTAAAAACAAAAGGCCACAAAGTGATCTGGGAGATCGCTTTTAGCTCTGGGATTCTATCAAAAGCAAGAAAGAGATAGACAGATTTGTATCCTACGTGTATGCATGCTCAGGCTCCAATTATTAGGCTACAGGAAAAGCCTAATCCTTCCAAGCATCTCAGAGGCACCAAGTATATTTCCTACCTAATGAGAAGTAAATGTTTGGAAGAGAAAACTCCACAAGCAACGTAATCAGTATCTCGTGATGGATTGGGTGTGACTTTCTTTTATGGAGATTCTCAGTAGAATTGTCTTTGAAGCTGCAGTTATGACAGCTAGAAAAAACTTTATGAGTATGACTAAGGGAGCACTGCATTTAAAAATTATGTAAGGCTGGGGACAGCTAGAAAAACTTTATGAGTGTGTCTAGTGGAGCGTTGCATTTAAAAATTATATAAGGCTGGGTGTGGTGATTCATATCTGTAATGCCAGCACTTTGAGAGGTTGGGGCAGGAGGATTGCTTGAGCCCAGGAGTTCAAGACCAGACTAGGCAACATAGCGAGACCTCAACTTTATAAAAAATGTAAACAAAATGGGAAGCCAAGGCAAGAGAATTGTCTGAGCCCATGAGTTCGAGACCAGCCTGGTCAACATGGTGAGACCTCATCTCTACAATAAATAAATAAATAAATAAAAAGAGAGAAAGAATTAACTGGGCATCGTGGCATGTTTTTGTAGTACCAGCTACTCAGGAGGCCAAGGTGGGAGGATCGCTTAAGCCCAGGAAGCTGAGACAGTGAGTCATGACACTGCACCCCAGCCTGGGCGACTTGACTAATTAAATAAATAAATGTATTAAAAATCACACCACCCTTGTACATTCCTTTTTTAAAGCATTATTTTGTTTTAAACGGTGTCTAGGTGGTATTAACAGCAGTATCACAATTTTTGGAGGCAGATCTGAGAAATAACTATCACATTAAGCTCCACATTAGTTTATCTGATTATTCTCATGTAAATTTCACAGCACCCCTCTTTAAAATGAGGAGAAAAGTGAATCAGCTCAGATAAGTACTTTGCCCATGGTGACAATAGAGAGTCAAAATGGTTGTCTAACTTTAAAACTCATGCTCTTTTTCCTGCCTCCTGCAATCATTTTCCTACTTGAAAAGAAATTGCAAATATCTTGCTTGTACATCATATTTACATACGGCATGCTAGTGAATTATTAATACTCCTGTTTGGTTTGGCATCTCTGTGTCATTCATAGTAAGGTTTACTTTCCACTTCTTTTATAAGACTTCAGATCAGTTCAATACACATTTGTTGAGAACTTATAGGTTGCCATAGATAAGCACTAAGAAAATGAAAATAAATAATAAAATCTCTGCCCTAAAGGAGAGTTAGGAAGTCACAGATAATGAATGTGAAAGCATTTTGTGAACTACAAATGTAAGGCATTTTTGTTGCTGCTATTAATACTAGTCGCCATGATTATTTTAACATGTAGGACCTAGGTCAGATTTGATATCCATTTTTTCTTGAAACATTGTCACTGGAAATATAGCAAAAGCTTAGAGGTAGCCTTTAGTAATGCATCAGTTTCAAACAAATGATTTAATGGTCCTTGCTATTGCCTTCAAAAGTAATTCCTTGCTATTAACTTCAAAGACTACAGGTTGGTGCTCTGTAGTATGCCAACAGCTAATCAACCATCCCTTATACCTTTGAAATCCCACAAGGAACCCATCTCTTACTCAAAGGGGGCAGAAACCTTTTCTGCCTTTTAGAAGTATATAGGTGGGTTTACTCTCTTCCTCAGTCCTACCTCATTCTCACCAAATTCACTACGTTAGCAAGACTCGTAACTACACATTCGAAGGCAAATTTTATTTTGCACAACTGAAAACAACAGAGATGTTCAAAAGTAATCCTTATTGTTGATTTTTTAGAAGCAATTATTCTGAAGCAAGTAGCTTTGGAAAGCCCATTTGTAGATTTTAGAAATGTGTTTGCTACTAATACTTTACAAGCAATAAACATATCTAAGAGAATATGAGAGAATCCAGGAAACCTGCTACTTTCTTGGCTACAAACTAAATCATGTCTCTCTTTCTCTTCCAGGACAATCCATTTTTTGATCTGCACTTCAAGAAAGTGTACAGTTTAGAAGCATATAGCTGTGCTTCTAAATATGCCTTTGCTCGAACTGTAAATAAGCTGAATCATGCCTATCTTAAGAAGGACTTACAGATCGTGAACTTTGATTCTACTTACATTAATGATGATTCCATTTGGTCTTCCAATAACAAGGATTGCTTGGTCCTTATGAGAATATGCTTCTATGCTTTCAATCTTGTGTGCTTGTCCCTATGTCCCTTGCCACTCTAAAGATGCCTTCCTTCATCAGTGTTCTAGGAAAATGTCCCTAAGTAAATATTGATAGCCATAATTTCATTTTCCATTCAAACAGTGACTATTATTTATATAAAATAAACTAATGCTTTGTGATTGCAGTGAAGTATATTTTAATGCAACCATTAAACATTTGGAACTTTTTGCAAATGAGTTTCCTAGTAACTTTTGAAGGAATCTAATGGCCTTGGCTAAATTACATTCTGCTAAAGAGTATCAAGAGGAACCATAAAACACCTAAATATGTAGGAAGAAACATTCTGTGCTCATGGATGAGAAGACTTAATACCATCAAGATGTCAATACTACCCAAAGCAATCTGCAGATTCAATGCAACGCCTATCCAAATTTCAGCAGCTTATGTTGCAGAAATGGAAAAGTTGATCCTCAAAGTTCATATGGAATGTCAAGGGGAGTCAAATAGATAAAGAATCTTGAAAAAACTACAAAATTTGGAGATTCACACTTCTTGATTTCAAAACTGCACATCAACAGTAATCACAATGTGGTAACTGCGTAACAATAGGTCTTTAAGGCTGGGCGTGGTGGCTCAAGCCTGTAATCCCAGCACTTTGGGAGGCAGAGGCGAGAGGACTGCCTGAGCCTAGGGGTTCGAGACCAGCCTGGGCAACTTGGCAAGACCTCATCTCTACAATAAATCAAAAAATTAGCCAGGCATGGTAGCGCGTGCCTATAGTTCCAGCTGCTTGGAAAGCTGAGGCAGTAGGATCGCCTGAGTCCAGCAGGTCGAGTCTGTGGTTGACGTGAGCATGCCCCTTACTCTAGCCTGGGCGATAGCGTGAGACTCCAATTCAAAAAAAAAAGAATAGTCTTATAAACCAAGGGAACAGAATTGAGAATTCAGAAATAAACTCATACGTCTATGATCAACTGATTTTTGGCAAGGGAGTCAAGTCCATTCAAAAGTGAAAGAATGATCTCTTCAACAAATTGTACTGGGATAACTGGATATCTACATACAAGAAGACAAAGTTGGACCTCGACCTCATGCCATGTACAAAAATTAACTCAAAATTGACCAACAACCTAAATATAAGAACTGAAAACACAACACTCTTAGAATAAAATATAAGAATAAGTCTGCAGGACTTTGGGTTTGACAATGGATTCTTGGGGCATAGAAAGCATGAGCAAAAATAATAGGTAAATTGGACTTTATTAAAATTTAAAGCTTTTTTGCATCAAAGGGCATTCTCAAGAAACTGAAAAATAAACTTACAAAATGGGAGAAAATATTTGCAAATCATATATCTGATAAAAGTTTAATACCAGAATATGTTTAAAGAATTTCTACAACTCAGCAACAAAAAACAAACAATCCAATTAAAAATGGACAAAAGACTCAAATAGATATTTCTACAAAGAAGATATACAAATGGCAAATAAGCACAAGAAAAGATGTTCAATATCATTAGTCATTAGGAAAATGCAAATCAAAACCACAATGAGGTGGGAGTGGTGGCACACACCTGTAATCTCAGCAACTAGGGAGGCTGAGGCAAGAAGATCGCTTGAAGCCAGGAGTTCAAGACTAACCTGGGCAATATATTAAGACCTCATCTCTTTAAAAAAAATTAAAAACTTAGCTGGGCGTAGTAGCACATGCCTGTAGTCCCAGCTACTTGGAAGGCTAAAGTGGGAGAATTTCTTGAGTCCAGGAGTTTGAGGCTGCAGTGAGCCATAATCGTACCACTGCACTTCAGCCTAGCCAACACAGTGAGACCCGACTCAAAAAAAAAAAAGGAAAACCACCATGAAATGCCACTTCACAGCTACTAAGGATGACTGCTAAAAAATGGTAATAACAGACCAGGTGCTGTGGCTTAAGCCTGTAATCCCAGCACTTTGGGAGGTAAAAGTGAGAGGATTGCCTGAATCCAGGGGTTCAAGATCGGCCTGGGCAACTTGGTGAGACTTCATCTCTACAATAAATAAAAAAATTAGCTGAGCGTGGTGGTGCACGCCTGTAGTTCCAGCTACTTGGAAGGTTGAGGTGGAAGGATGGCCTGAGCCAGTAGGTCGAGGCTGCAGTGTCTGTGAGTGTGCCACTGCACTCCAGCCCGGGAGACAGAGGGAGACTCCAACTCAAGAAAAAAAAAAAAAAAAGTAAGAACAAGTGTTGGCAAGAATGTAGATAAATTGAAATCCTCATACATTGCTGGTAGGAGTGTAAAATGGTGCAACTACTATGGAAAACAGTTTGGTAGTTCCTCAAAAAGCTAGACAGAAAGTTTATGACCCCAAAATTCCGTTCATAGGCACTAAAGGAATTGAAGTCAGTGGATTATATACCAATGTTCACATTGTTCACAATAGCCAAAAAATGGAAACAACCCAAGTGTCCATCAATAGATGAGTGGATGGACAAAATGTGCTATAGCCATACAATAAATAGAATATTATTCAGCCTTAAAAAGAAATGAGGTTCTGATACATGCTACTACATGAATGAACCTTGAAAATGTTATGCTAAGTGAAGCAAGCCAGTTACAAAAGGACATCTATTGTATAATTCCCCTTATGTGAATTATCTAGAATAGGCAAATTCAGAGACAGGAGTTAGATCAGAAGTTAACAGAGACAGGGACTGGGAGGAGTTATTGCTTAATAGTTATAGAGTTTCTATTGGGGTAATGAAACAGTTTTGAAAATGGTTAGGGTTGTACAACATTGTGAATGTAATTAATCCCACCGAAATGTACATTTAAAATAGGCAAAAGGGCAAATCTAACTTATATGTGTGTGTGTGTATATAAACACAACAAAAATAATGTAATAAGCCAAGAACTGCACACTTTAAATGGGTGAATTGTATGATATGTGAATTGTAGTTCGATACAACTGTTTAAAAATAAAAAAGTCCTTTAAAAAAGGAAGAAAATCTTCTCATTTGTGACCACATGGATAAACCTGGAAGACACTGTGTTCAGTGAAATAGACCAGGCACAGAAGGATAACTACCACATGATCTTACCTTAGAAGAAGGTAATTGGGGAAATCTTTAAAAACTCATAGAAGCCGAGAATAGAATGGTGACTACCAGAGGCTGAGAGTGTGGAGGGATTAGGAAAATATTATTCAAAGGCCACATGATGTCAGTTAGACAGGAGAAATAAGTTCAAGATCTATTGTACATCATGGTGACTGTAGTTAATAACCATACGTCGTTTACTTCTAATTTGCTAAGAGTAGATGTAGATTGATTTAGTCATCCCACAATGTATATGTATTTCAAAACATGTTGTATACCATAAATATATGCAACTTTTATTTTCCAAATTAAAAAAAATCACAGTAGTACCTGCTGCAGGTGAGATCAACAAATGACACTAAAATTACTAGGTAGAAGTTTAAGGAGAAACAAGGTATGTTCACAGTCTAAGATATTTGTTGACTAAAAAGGAAAAAAATGTAGTAAGTGTGCAGTGATAGACACGTGGTAGACACCATCTTAACTGGGGATCAAGGTTAGCATCTCCAGTAAAGGGACGTATCAATGAATATCACATGCCACCTGATCTTATACACTGAGAAAGGCACATCACCTCTGTGATACTCTGCTCCCAAATCCATGACCTTATTCTAACCACGATGAAACATCAGACACACCCAAATTGAGGGACATTCTACAACAAATTACTCTTCAAATGTGTCAAGGTCATGAAAAACAAGGAAGGGCTGAGCGTATTAGTTTGCCAGGGCTGCCATAACCAAGTAAGTACCACAGACCAAGTGACTTAACAGAAATGTGTGGTCTCACCAATCTGGAGACCAGAAGTCTGAAATCAAGGGGCTAGCAGGACTGGTGAGGACTATGAGAGAAATTCTGTTCCAGGTCTTTCTCTCCTATCAACTAGCTGTCATCTGCGTGTGTCTTTGCACTATCATCCCTCTGTACATACCTGTGTCTAAATTTCCCCCTTTTATGAAGACATCAGTCATATTGGCCCACTCTAATGACTTGGTTTTAACTTGATACCTCTATAATACCTTGATACCTGTCTCCAAATAAGATCACATTCTGAGTACTGTAGGTTAGGACTTCAATATACAAAAAAAGGGAGGCACAAGTCAACCCATAGCCCTGAGGAACTGATTGGAGAACGTTTTTATCTCTTTTGTTTTTGTTTTAAGTCAGGGTCTCACTCCGTCAGCCAGACTGGAGTGCAGTGGCACGACCATGGCTCACCGCAGCCTCAAGCTCCTGGGCTCGGGTGATCCTTCCGTCTCAGCCCCTGAGCAGCTGGGACTACAGGCGTGCACCACCATACCAGGCTAATTTTTTTATTTTTTGTTTTTATGGAGACAAGACCTCACTCTATTGCCCAAGCTGGTCTCGAACTCCTGAGCTCATGTGATCCTCCTACCCTCAGCCTCCCAAAGTGCTGGGATTACAGGTGTGAGCCACCGTACCTGGTCTTGATTCGAGAAATTTGAGGAGAAATGACAAGTAAATATAATGTGGATTTCTAGATTGGATCCTGGAACAGAAAAAGAATATTGGCAGAAAAACTGGTGAACACTGAATAAGGTGTATAATTTAGTGACCCTGCACTAAGGCTAATGTGTTAGTTTTGATCATTGTACAATGGTTCTATGAGATGCAGACAGTTAGAGAAGTCAGGCAAGGAGTGTGTGAGAGCTTGCTGTACTTTCTTTTCAATTGCTCTGTAAGGTTAACTTTTTTTTTTCCAAAATAAAAGAAAATTTGTGGCCAGGCTCAGTGGCTCAGCTTTTGGAAGGCCTAGGCTAGTGGATTGCCTGAGCCCACAGGCTTAAGACCAGCCTGGGCAACTTGGTGAGACCTCATCTCTACAATAAATCAAAAATTAGCCGGGCGTGGTAACGTGTGCCTGTAGTTCCGGGTACTTGGAAGGCTGAGCAGAAGGATCGCTGGAGCCCAGCGGGTTGACGCTGGGATGGCCCTGAGAGCCACTGCACTCCAGCCTGGGCGACGGAGTGAAACTCTAACTAAA